AGAACAACAAACAGAAACGAAACAACTTCAAAAGTCACTTATAGAATCATATTTGACCATACTGGTGTCATAAATCAACTCAAAATTCGCTGATTTATGGCTTAAATCCTTATTAATGAATTTAATTGGAAGTTAATTTATCATACAGATTAAATTTTATGTTCTACGTCTTTCCGAAAAATGTTTATTTCTGCGAAAATGCGGCGCTACTTATTGAAGCTGTAGATCGGATCTTTCATTCGATACGTGCCATGTGAACAAAGACTAAAGTTCATCGGTTTATGATTACATAATTCTCACAGCTATTGCTCCTGATTCATTGTAATTATAAACTACATCTGTGTTGACGTTCCACTGACAATGAATTATGCCGATGACACAATCCTGGTTCAGGCCATATAGTCGATCAAAGACCATAAAGCATAGAGCAACGTCTCCGATATCTGCGTTTTTGTGTCCTCGAATGGTCACAGTTTAAACCTGTAGAAGGCAAATGAGCAGATCTCCGTGATGTGAGGTGCAAAACAAAAGGCACTTTTTCAGCTATTTGCTGAGGTGCTGGTGATTATCGGTCAGGCAGTGTCCTAAGCAGAGTAAATCAAGGACCTCGGAGTGATTGTTTCATCTGATCTAAACTGGCATGAGAGCGTCAATGCAGCACCAAAGCGCTGCTGCAACGCCTGCTCTTTCGCTAAAGATTGAGGGGTCTTCTGCAGCATTGTCAGGAAGTTACAATCTTTGTCTTCACGAGTGTCATTCCCTTTATTCAGATGCTGCCAGAGTCGAAATCCTTGGGCTGCAGCTGTGCGAATTCAAGATCTTCCAGAGGGGATGAAAGTTTCCTTCTTAATTAAGCGGCTTGCTGAAAAAGGGTTTTGCAATCTCCAGCCAAATGTCCTATTGCTGAAGATGCACAAATGGCCACATAGATTCTGGACAAGACACCGACCGGTTTCATGACTGTCGTGGCATGTGGCACTCAAGAGGCGCATCTACACGATCATTCCACCTCAGAGTATGTTGTCTTACCGAAGTGTTTATTGGATTCTTTGCCATAACTTCAGCGCAAAGCCTCACAATTAGGAGGCTCTCTGTCATCGCTACTTGGATGTGGTCATTGTGGCACAGTGCTGTCTTTTTTTTCAGTTTTCACTCAGCTGCCTTTGACATCTTGCACGTTTATTCAATTCACTTAGATACAATCATATTTGTCAACTATTCATTCTGCGCAATTTAATTATTTATCTAGCCTGTCTCGAATATGGTGAATAATGCAGTTTAGAGCGACTCTTTTGAAGTAGTTAAACTTTCACTTTTCGACTAGAGATAATTATTAAGACATCGGATAAAAGTGCACCGTAAATATTTACCATTTAATCGTTGACTCAGTATCTACAGTAAAGGGTCTCAGGCCATTCCTGACGTCTAGGGTTTCAGCATCACCGCTGAAAAGATGGTAAACATTTGATCTGCATATCTTTCAAAAATGACTTTGGAGCCAGATCGCTCCTGTTTTACAACGCGACATTGTCAATGCGTTGAATGAACAGTTTGGCAAGAATGGGGCAGATCTTAAGGCACATTAGTAGTCCTTTGTTTGTTCAAAAAAAGTATATATATACATGATATGCGGGAGATGATATACTCCTTTGGTAAGTCACAAAAGGGAAGTCCACGCATAAAGAAATCATGTATGATATACATATGGTATGATATAATCCTTTGGTAAGTCACGAACGGAAAGACCACGCATAAAATGTTTTTTAATTAGAGACATCTGACGTTTCGGACCAAACTCGGTCCGTCTTCAGAGTATAATATATAATATATATGAGGTATTCGTTTTCTACCTTAACTGTCGACTTTCAGATACATTCCTAAGCTCCCACTGATGTTCCTTCAGGCTCGGTAACACATTTTCTAGTCACGTTCTAGTTTTGCAATGGTATTTGATTATAGCATCGTTATATATAATGAAAAGTCGATGCGCAACCGGCATTGGATAATAACAATTTTAAGTGAAAGTAGGAGAATTTTTTAATCATATTTTATTATACACAAAACCAAATCATAAGCAAGTACTACGAGGTTAATTCTTTAAAATTTCTTCAAGTCCGACTTTTCGACTTTTCCTTTGTATTTGACAATAAACTGCATATGCGTCGTGCAACAAATTTCAATGTAAAGTCACATGTCCAAAAAAACTGAAACACGCCTGAGGATTAAACTCAATTTTTACAGATGATCTGTTTAACGAAGTGGCTGCGATGAACGGTGATAAAATGCAAAATAAATGCTGAATAAAAGTGGCAAATTCTGAAAGACGCACTATTGAGACTTTCCTCTTCTTTTCAAGTCGGTATCGTTACCCCCTGTCGATGGACAAAGAATCTTGATCGTGAAAAAATTCAAAAACCATATATAGATGCACACAACTTCGCATACGATTGCCATGGCTCCTATGCATCATATAAGCGTGTTGTGGTTATCAATATTTTTGATTTCCTATTGTGTCGAACGCCGTTTCTACGAATCGTTAGGCATTGAAGAGGAAATCATCGACTGCAGAATCCGCATTTATTCCTTGATGTTACTAACTATCCGGATGGATAGGTAAAGCTGAAGAACTGAAACGATCGATATCACACTTATGTCAAGCCCTCCCCCCCCCAACTGGCATAACGGTGCGGTGCGAAACATCGAATTACAGACGACATACAACTGTGAACCTGTGCAGGTTTCGGTGCTACGTTGTAGTCGAGATTGCGGTGGAGGGTGACATTTCAGAATGACGCAGAAGAACGCAGAAGTGGCGGTCTGTTGGAACGGTTAACCATCTCTGCTGAACAGTCTGCCACAACGAAGACATCGTAAGCGTCACACATTTTGTAACAGTCAGGCACAGCGACGCAACTAAGTTGCCGAGGGAATGTTTGCAACGCCTATCAATAGCAAGAAGGTGCACGGAGGTAGTGTGTAAAGGGGCATCGAAAATCATAACATTGTTCATTATTATTAATGATATTAAAAATGAGCTGAATGTCATATCCGATATGGTCAGAGCCATCAGGAGATATCTGAGCGTAATGCGTCGATTGTAACTGTCATGAACGACAATTACCAAAATATATGCAATGCCAATGACCCCTTGAAGGGCCATTATCTGTTGTTAGTTGTGGCTGGCCATGGCTTAAGGACTGATCTGAATCGAACTTGTGGAAGAAAGTGCTGAAATGCAGAGTAACGGGGGCAGCTTTTGGAAGAATTTAAAGTCACCATCCACTGCATCTTGTTGTGGCGCTGTGTAAATAAGATCTGTTCCCCGAAGTTCATTTTCTGCCAGCTAATCGAAAACATACTTTTTTTAAATTATTGAAATGCGTTAAATTGGACATTACGAAATAGGAGATTGGATATGAAGCGCTTGTTAAACTGATTTATGCACAAAATGAAATTTTTCAAAAAATCAAAAAACCAGAATTACTTTAATTCTCAAGTGCGTTATGATCCGCAACTTTTATCTTGACAAGTTGTTCTTCTTCTCAATGGGCATCACCATCGTCTAGTCTCGATATACTATTACCATTACCACTGTCTACATTTATAGTTTATCGCACCAAGTGTCTATGTCCGTCTTTTAACTGATGTACTGATGTGTTGTTATCTTCCAGTTGAGGTCTTCCACCCTCTTGAGAATTATTCTGTAAGTGGTAAAGACTATAGATCATTTGTCAGTCATGGGAGTGACCTACCTCCTTTGTTTTCCTTTAACTGGACTCACCAGTCCTCATTTTCATGTGCATTCTCATTTATTAGTTACAGACCTTGTGACCATCTAACGACAGTCATATTGCAGTGCATATTCGATCCGTGGCGATCATTCTGGCTACTCTGTGAAGACCGAAAAATCTGAACAATATTCTTTGAAGTTGGTGTACTTGCGAACCGAAAAACAGATGGCTTTGGAAATGGGTGTTTAGAGTTCGACTTTTACCTTTGTTTGTGAAGGGAGGTTACCTATTTTACTACTGAATTACTGAAACTGACCAGGGTAAATGAGCGACTGTATTTTTCGGTTAAGTTTACTGTAATGCAACGAAATGTGAAGCTATCGTTGACCGGTCAGTGAGAACTGATGCCGATATAATTTCAGATTTGGATTGGCGTGTTTCTTTTCGATTTGCTCTTAAACAGCTAACTGGCATTTCAATAATTTTTTTACAATCTAATCATGCAATCGATCCAATGATGTCATAAAATAATTTACATTTTTTTCATGAGATATCATCCTTGAATTATAAGTGATCTCTTAATCGATTAGGAGATGGCGTTCAACAGCGTCGAGTGCCACGCAAGGTGGATTGCTTAGGCAGAACATAACTTAGACACCCGTTAACACGGCTCCATGGCATTTCAGTGTCTGCAGTGATTCTCAGTGAATAACGATGTCTTCTTTATATCTCCTTTGTTCGGTTTCAATGACCACTACACAATAATGCTCATCTGCAGCAAAGCAAACTAGGTTAAGGATATATAGCAATATGTATTCATAGGCTGCATATTGTTTCATGAGCGGTTTACTCATTTCATTCTGATTTGACCGTAATGAACAACTTGCTGTGTGATCAGCAGAGGGTCTGATGCTTACCTGGACTTTTCTGACTT